TCTGAACGTTACTTATTCATTCGACATTAGTAAGGCGGATCAAAATTTTGATTTCTTGCTGAAAGACAAAAAAAATAAAGTTGAAGGATGTCCAGAAGATTTCGGCGTTAGACGAGTTAAAAGGTCGAGTGTATTGTAAATTACATGAATCTTACAACCATTTTATCGAGAATTGTGTGGCATTTCGAAAGGCTATACAACAAGCGTTGAAGAGTGGTTGCTTAAAGTTAGTTGAGGGGAAAGATATGAAAATCGATTTAGATCCTTTTCCTTCAGTTGTAAATGTTAGGTTTATAAAAGATGGAGAGCATCAGCGTAAATATTTTCTTGAAAGGTTGGGGAGTCCATAAATTGCGCAATTTAAGGGAAATCAATGGCGGAGATCCGGATCAGTGTTCCATCGACTTGGAAATTTGAAATACAACAATGAAAAGATCGGTTCATCAAAAGAGAGGCTGACGTTGAAGGATCGCTTGTGCCCATCATCAACGGTTGTACAAGTTGATGCCAAAAAGGGAAATACCTTTTACAATGTCACCACAGGTGATCGGGTAGTTATTTGTCCCTACACGATAAGGAAGCCTCCTATTGTACTATCATTGGATGAATGGATTGTTAATCGTAAGGTGTAGGATATTCGGGGGCAGAGAATCTTGACTCGAAGACAAAAAAAAAAGACGTCAAAGAGAGAATTTGGCTTAGAAATTTCATGAGGCAATTTTAAAAAAGAAAGGAGAGACCAAATTGAGTAAACCAGCCGTGGTAGTTGAGAGGACATTTAAGAATGATAGCTAGGGAGAGACCAAATCGAGTAAACCAGCCGTGGTAGTTGAGAAGACATTTAAGAATGATAGCTCACCTTGCAGTCAGCCAAATATTGCTGGAAAAGAAACTTGGCGGGCTGTTTGCCGCCAAGAAACGAATTGCCAACATAAAGAGTTGCAGGTTGTATCAACTGGAGAGCAATTGCCAAGTCAAGCGACTTAAAATAATATTGGAGAAGAGGTTTGGCGGGTCGTTCGCCACCAAGAAATTAAGCGCCAACCACAAGAGGATCCCGTTGGAAAAAATGTTTGGCGGACTGCTTGTTGCAAAGAGACAAACCGTTAGCGACAAAATACAAGGATTGTTCCAATTGGGGAGCAAATTCCGAGTAAAGAAACTCAAAATAGTGCGGAAAAAAATTTGTGGCAGGCCGTTGGACGCCAAGGAAGAAGTCGCCAGCAACAGGAGATACATACTGCTTCAGTTGAAAAGTGATTGTCGATGCCGGTAGTTCAGAAATGGTTGCCAAGGAACCCGCAACTAGCGACAAATCAAAGATGGGTGCCGGTCAAGCGACAAAAATCCAGCAAGTTTGATGGCGTGCCTAGAAGACTTGGAAAATTTGTAGTGAGTAAGGATGATGATTTGGAGGAGAAAATTGAGGTTGATGAAGAAGCTATCGAGAGAGAAGTTGATGAGCTTTTTAGCATGATCAATCCCGACGAGGTAGATGTTTTGGGAATGCTTCCAGTTGAATTCCATCTCAAAAGCTCACATTCTAACCGTTTGGATGGAAACGTTGAGGTAAAAGAGGCAGAGGTGGCTGCTCTTGTTGGTGATGATGATGTTTGTTCAGAAGTGTTGGCATTCCCAAAACCTTTTGATGAACAAACTCATCATCTTAAGCCTTCATATTTAAGGGCGTTGATCGATGGGTGCCCCATGGGAAAAGTGTTGGTTGATGGAGGGGCTTTTGGTAATGTTATGCCATTTTCAACCATTCGTAAGATTGGAAAGACGCGAGAAGATCTTCCTAACCCAGATTCAAACAACTGATTTTACTGGAAATGCACAAAAACCACCCGGAATGTTAAAAGCCAATGTAACAGTTGAGATAAAAAACAGTGCGAGCAAATTTTATAGTTATTGAAGGAAAACTGACTTACTCGGCATTGTTGGAAAGAGATTGGATCCACGCGTGTAAGTGTGTGCCATCAACTTTACATCAATAGGTGTGTTTTTGGGATGCAAAGATGGTTTAAACGGTTGATGCTCAAGCCGATCCATTCGCCTCCAAATTGGCTGCCATCAACTTATTATTTAACCGATTTGCAACTATTATCTTTTGTGTTGAAGGATATTGTGCAAGGAGATGTCGAGTGTGTTCTCACATCCGCTAGCTTTGAAATAAGGCCGCGGGTTGAGTGTCGGACAACCCGAGTTGTTATTCAAGGATGGCAATTGAACAATAAGATATTTGGGGATATGAGCCATTCCCACCGGTACAGAGGAGAGCACCAACATTTGAGGCGCAGGACACCTTAGTAGAAGTGAATCTTGGAACGCCCGAAGAGCTGAGGATTACAAGAATCAATGCATTATTGTTTGATCATGACCGTTTGAGAATGAAAGATTTGATTCGTTGGTATCATGATTGTTTCTCTTGGGACTATTCGGAGATACCGGGGCTGGCTAAGGAGTTGGTTAAGCATCGATTGCCAATTAAATCAGGTTATCAACCACACAAGCAGCTGCCTAGAAGTTATAATCCCAAATTGCTTTCGGCGATCAAGTCGAAATTGGAAAACTATTGAGAGCGGAGTTTATTCGTACTAGCCACTATCCGGAATGGATATCAAACATTGTACCATTTAAGAAGAAAAGTGGCACAGTGCGAATATGTATAGCTTTTAGAAATCTTAATCTTGCAACGCCGAAGGATTATTACATTATGCCGGTCGCCAATATGTTAATTGATTCAGCGGCAAATCATGAGATATTATCGTTTATGGACGTTTATTCGGGTTACAACCAGATTTTTGTAGCTGAGGAAGATACCGCCAAGATGGCGTTCCGATGTCCAGGGGCAATTGTTCTATTCGAGTTGGTTGTTATGCCTTTTGGTTTGAAAAATGCTGGGGCTACGTATCAGCGCGCCATGAACTTGATTTTCCATTATCTCATCGGCGGATGAATGAAAGTTTACATTGATGATGTGGTGGTGAAATATGATAGGATGATGATTCATTTAGAGCATCTAGAACAAGCATTTCTGCAAATGAGACATCTTCGGCTGAAAGTGAACCCCGCAAAATGCGTTTTTGGTGTTTCAGCGGCAAAATTTTTGGGATTTCTTATTCATGAGAAATGAATTGAAATTGATCAAAATAAAACAAGAGCCATCATTGAAATAGCTTCTCCAAAGTCAATTAAAGAGTTTCAAAGTTTGATGGGAAATATAATTTTTTTGAGGCGGTTCATTGCAAACGTAGCGGAAAACATGAAGGCTTTCACAATGCTTTTGAAGGGAAGAAGGTTAGCTGACTTTATTTGGGGGGCAGAGTTGCAAATTGCGTTCGACGAGATGAAGAAGGTTATGTCCAGCCCTCCGGTCTTGGTGCCACCGAAAAAATGCAGGCCTTTGAAGTTTTATGTAGCAGCATCCTAAGAGACAATTGGCAGTTTTTCGATGCAAGAGGACGTTAATGGAAAAGAGAGAGCGATATACTACTTTAGCAAAATATTGAACGATGCAGAAAGAAGAATTATACTATAGATAAATTGTGCCATTCGTTGTACTACGAATGTAAAAAACTCGAGTATTGTCTTATTCCGCATGATGCTTATGTATTTTTCAAAGTCGATTTAAAAAAATATATGTTGAATCGCCCTGTTCTAAGGGTCGTCTTGTGAAATGGGTTGTTCGATTAATGCGTTTTGAGTTGAAATATATGCATTTAAAGGCCGTCAAAGGACAGGCCGTTGCTAACTTTCTTGCTGAGCACTCAATTTCTAAATCAATAGAAGGCGTTGATGTTATTTTTTTGGGGGCAGCCCCTTGGATTTTAAAGTTTGATGGGTCGAGCCCTCATACATCAGTAGGGATTGGCGTCGTGATATTTAGAGCCCTTGTGGCGAAGTTTGGAGGCATTCCCTTCGACTTCAACAAGAAAGCACGAATAATCAACCTGAATATGAGGCTCTCATTTTTGGACTGCGTATGTTGGTGATTCATGAGGTATGGCTGGTATTGATTCAAGGCGATTCACAGTTGGTGATTAACCAACTTGTTGGCGAATATGAATGTCAGGATTTAAATTTGTTATATTTGTATGATGAGGCATGAACTTTGTTACGTGAGTTTGATGACGTAGTTATGTCACATGTGTTAAGGCGAGATAATGATGACGCAAATTATCTTGCGCAAGCCGCGTCCGGCTATCGTAAGGTTGTTAAATCGGAAGGCCACCTGATGGAAATTTTGTGCCAAGATACAAGTCAGAATCAGGATTCAGATTCGCGACAACCTTTTATACAATTTCTTGTTGATCCTTCCCAGGATGTGACTTCTGAAACTAAGCGCAAGTCCCTTAGGTATACGTTAATCGCCGGAGAGTTATATCGACGAACTATTAGTGGGGTATTGTTGAAATGCCTTGATAAAGAGCAAGCATTAAAGGCAATAGGAGAGATACATGAAGGTATTTGTGGAGCAAATTGAGTAGGCCCACACATGACATAGTCATTGTTGTGGTATGAATATTTATGGCCAAAGATGGGAGAGGATTGTGTTGCATATGCTCGGGGCTGCCAAGCTTGTCAAATACACAGACCAATTAGTGTTGCGCCAGTTGAGGAGTTGCATCACATTATTAAGCCATGACCTTTTAGAGGTTGGGTGATGGACATCATTGGAAAGATTCAGCCACTATCCTCGAAAAGGCATGTGTTCATTCTTGCCGCGACGGATTATTCTACGAACTGGGCGGAGGTGGCTCCATATGTGAGCATCACTCAAATGGATTTTATTCGGTTCATCAAAGAGCAGATAATTAATCGCTTTAGGATTCCTCAAACGTTTACGGCTGATCAATGGACAGTGTTCACATGAGAGCGAGTCAAAGCATTAGTGGTTCAATACGGGATTAAACTTATTCATTCATCGCCGTATTACGCTCAGGCCAACGGGCAGACTAAGGTTAAGAATAAGAGCTTGGGGATGATCATAAAAAAAAATGCTGGAAAATAGCCCTCGAAAATGGCACAAAGTTTTATCCGAGGTGCTGTGGGCATATCGGAATGCTAAGAACACTACTACTGGTTTTTCGCCCTTCCGATTGACATATGGACATGATGCCCTGTTCCCATTAGAGATCATGGTTCCTTCCTTGCGGGTCGTTCAGTAGCATGGATTGAGCATCAAAGATTATCATTAGGCATTGTACAATGAGCTCGATCAAGCAGAAGATGAGCAATGGACTCCTTTTGAAAATATTCGGGCATACAAAGCAAAGGTGGCACAGTGGTATAATAAGAAAGTTAAAGGACGGTCATTTGCGATTGGTGACTTGGTTTTGAAATATGTTTTGCCAATTGGGACAAAGGATCATCAAAAAGGAAAATAGTCGCCGAGTTGGGATGGTCCTTACGTGATTAGTGATATGCTATCAAATGGAGTGTATTGGATGATGTATCCCGATGGGTTGGAATTAAAAGGAGCTGTGAACGCACGGTTTTTCAAACCGTATCACATGTCTTCTGGGTTTGATTCGATTGTGGTAGAGTTGGCTTAGAAATTGTGCTTAGTATTTAAGGAGTTGTGGCGAGTTGGAAAGAAAAGTTGGCGATGGGTGTCGTTTGTAGTTTTGAAGGCTGATCATTGGTAGCCGCTAATGGGAATTGTGGTTTTACGATTGTTTTGCCACAGTGAAATTGCGGTAAAATATTTTCGTAGCTGGCAGGCGCTATAGTGATCGGATACGCTTTAGGAAATTCATTTTCAATGATGGAATTTCACGTTATGGCTATGTCTATCAATTCTTCTTCACGGGCGTAAGTCCGCTATCGCTACGCCAAAGATCATATCATAACGATAGTTTTGTGCCAATAATTTATCTACTTCGGATCAAGGTTGATCAATCCAGGTATGTATATATCACAAAATTTACTTATTTGGTTGATTAATATTTTGTGAATATTAGGTGGGGCATTATGTTGATGCATAAAAAATATTTGGCGAGCCAATTGGGAATTCGCAATGAGTTGGGCAAGAGGGCAAAACAAATCGGAGAAAAATTGGTTCAAGACTTGAAGAGGTAGTTGAGTTTGTAATTCAAATACCAAAACTATTTCAGCTCACACTTTAGAGATGAATGTTTTTTTTTTTTTTGTGGTGGTGAGAGGAAAACTTAGGAGTAATTAAAGGTTCATTACTAGAAGAATGAAGAAGGGAATTAATGTGTGATATTGATGATGGTTTATAATGAAGGAGGTTTCATTCATTTAAAAGTGGAAGGAAGTTAGAACCGTTGGTGGTCTTGGCAAGAATAATTAATAGGCCACTGAAAGAAAGATTAAAAAATTAATAATGAATGATTAGTGGCCAATAAATGTTTCGAAGGTTTCATCTCATGGGATTATAATGAAGGTGGAAGCAACGGAGGGAAGGGCATTGGATCAAGACAAAAAAAAAAAATTTAAGCATTTTTTTTCTTTTTACTCTATTATGTTATTTTCTTTTAGTGTTACATCTTAGAAAGTAGAGTTTTGTAATAATCTATATCATCAATCCAATACAATTTGTCGCTGTGTGCTTTTTCTTGAGTTGATTTAACTTATCTTCCCAGAAAACTAATCGCATATCACCAGGAGCTTGCCTCGAGTTGCCCGGAAACCCACCATATCTCACGAACGAGAATTATAAGGCCGGAATCAATTTCCAAGCCAATAGAATGTGAATCTAAGAAATGACGAAGGAATTGTACTAACTCGGTCTCAATATAAAGAAAAATATTGAGAAAGTTTAATGCTTTTGATAATACTCTAATAAAAATTTCGATGGACCTCAGTGTTTACCGGAGCATAAATAGAGATGATAATATTGCATAGGAAAAGTATGATGGAATAAGAGGAAGACTAATACACCTAATTGATTTTACAAGGTCCATTATAGCTTATTCAGTGAATAAGGTGAGTAGTTACACTAGAAAACTAAGTAATGAACATTGGAAGACGTTAGTGAGAATCTTTAGTTACTTGAAATACACTCTTAACTTTAGTATAAATTACACGAGATATTCTTCAATGCTAAAATTGTATTGTAATGCCAACTATAGATATGTCATTAAAGATTCCTTGTCTACAAATAAATATGTGCATTTAAAATCGTAGGTGGAGCAGTTTTTATGGAAACTCAAAATAAAATTATATCGTCTGATTCATCATAGAATCATAATTCATTGCATCAGATAAAACTGGTGAAGATGCCGAATGACTTTGAAATTTTCTAGACAATATTTCATTTTGGACGAAACTAATTCTCCGGTAATAATGCACTGTTATAGCGAATGGTAAAAATAAATTTTACAATGGTAAATTCGAAAATACCTGACAAGACAAAATAACGTAATATATTTGATCATATTTACTATGTATGGTCAATATAAAACCTTATGGATCCACTAACCAAATACTTATGTCAAGATCAAATATGCAAATTGCTAAAATGAATGGAGTTGAAATCCACAAGTTAGAAGCAATTATAGTGATAACTCAATCAAATCACTTGGAGATCCAAAACTCTGGTTCAATGAAAAAAGTAAATTGTTAAAGTTTGGCAGAAACACTCATCGCCATTATCTAGAAAACAACAAATGATATGTAGTGCGAATGTTGTGATCTTGAATCAATGATTCTTAATACTCCTTGAAAGTAAAACTAGATGCTTTAAGAAAAGGGTTATCTATTTAAGTGTGGAGTGAAGGTCGTTGCAACTGAAATACTTAAGAATCCGAATACGTGATCTATGACTGAACATGATCAAAATGCTTAAAGATAATGAGGCCGAGAGAGAGACATGCCAACGTTATTAACTATGATGTACGCTAAAATGGAATATTTCAATGCATTATATTAACTAAACCACCAGTGGATCCATAATATTGACTAAAGATGGTTCAAAGCTACGAACTAATTATCCCGACATGCGATATCTCTGTGGTGAGTTGCTCATTTGTCCTCATCATAGACATTCTCACTCATGTAGAGGATTATTGAATAATGGGTTAAAATATATTAATTGATTGAATTATTTTTTCAAAATTTGGCAAAATTGAATAATAGGTAAGTTAAAATATGTGTGGGCCAAATAAACTAATTGATTGAAGTATTTATCAATTAATTAGGCTTATAGTAATTTTTGTTACTAGAAGAGTGAAATTAGGGCATATATATATGCCGGTGAGACACATGCGCACGAACACTGATATGTGTAAGGACTCGGGGTTCAGACGTGGGCTTGTTTGTTGCTTGATTAGGCAATGTCTAATTTTTCACCAAAGCTCAAATTTAACAACAAAATAATTTGATTCGAGATTAATTTAACAAAAACTAAATACGTAAAGCCCAAATAGATGCATATATATAAATATTGTGCATCTATTGAAATTTAAAAATTCAAATTAAAACTCACCATTATACTGGCGGTTTCTCGGAATTAGTAGTAGATCGGTTCTCGACAATAAATGACCGGCAATTTTTTACTGCTGCACTTTAAGGGATTTATGGCCTAGGCAGTTTCGACTTGAGAACAAATCCTCCAAGGAGTGGAGTTCCACACTTTGTATAACTCTCTTATCTCTCTTCTTCCTCTCCCGATTTGCTTTCAAATGCGTTCTCCGGAAAGGCTACCACAATTTTCTTTCTTCTGGAACAATTCAATTCTTCTTTATTTACTTTATCAGAGCTCCGAAATATTGATTTTTGAAAACGTTGGCCACGAACCGAAGACATTACTTGACGTATTCATTTTGCAAAGTGAGATTTTACCTCAAGTCAATGGAATTATCTAATTTATTTCATATTGTGACTGTTATTTCCAAATACCTTTTCGCATTTTCACTAGAACAATTTGTTTGTTTATTATAGAGGATGTGATCGTCAGCATCTCTTCCTCCACTCTCCATTGTACAAAATAGTATATACATTAGGGTGTGTTTGTTTGGAGGTTTGAATTTTGAGTTGGGATTTGAATAGTAAAAATTTTGAATTTGAATAGTTGTATGATGTGATATAAATAGGGTTTGATGTGATGTTTTGAATGTAAAATTGATTTTTAGTATAATATAAAAAATAAAAAATAGGTGTTTGATTTGATGTTTTTGGGGGGAAAAAATTGGATGAATAGTGGAAATCCACCAAAATTCTTCAAACAAACGTGATATAAATATTATATATATACATATCATATTTTGGGCTTCTTTGCTTTTGCATAATACCATAATATTATATAATATTTGCGTGTCAATTAATATACAATTAGTATACTCCCTCCATCATGTCACATATCACTTATATTTTTTTTTTCGTCTTATTAAAAATAATTTAATTATTTTTATTTTTGGTAAATTTATTCATTTTAAATATACTTGACAAATATAAATTAATTTAATTAAATTCATAATCTCTTACACATGTACGGTATACTTAAAATTTCTTTATTTTTATCTCTCTTATCAATAAACAAATAATTTATTTTATCTATATTTGAAACTTCATGTATTTTTTATAAAACTAGTTTAAGTTAATTATAAATAAAAATATATTTATATTATATAAAATTTTATTATCTACAAAACATATTCATATTATATATATTTTATTGAGATATAATGCTAAAAATATTTAAACATATATTTTAAAATACCAACAACACTACTAGTATAAAAAAAAAATAATAATAATGAAAATAGTTACCAAAACATCAGCACCATGCCTAATATATATACAAACAACACACGTATCTTTTATTACACACAACACATGTATATGTTGTTTGTTCATAATTACAAGTATATTGTATAAGAGTTTGTTATGTGCTTAAATCAATTGTTGTATATATTGTATGAAACTTAACATGTGTTGTTAATTCATGTATTATATTTGTTTTATATAATCATATACCATGTTGTCTTTGGTAATACTGTGTGTTGTCACCATGTGTTATTCAGTACAGTCACATTCAGCATACAAAAATAATGTGTTATTAATAATAAATTATTAATCTATACTATTTAAGTTCTCATACAAAAATAAAGGAATTATATTATACAAAAAATAATATTCCCTCTGTTTCGAAACAATAAAAAAATTTATGATAAACACATGAATTAAGGAATTAAGACCAGATATAGCTAGCCAATGGAGACAAGTATCTCCATTATTTAATATTTTTTTTTATTAATTTTTATACCACTTTTATGTTTTTGTTATGTTAGTAAGAACACTCAATTCTATTTTAGATTTGCAACAGAGAAATTCATTCCAAATTTTTTATTTTTTCTTTTACATTATGATATATATATATATATGCATATTACTTTTTTTTTAAAATAAAATCAAAACTTTTATTAATTTTTTAATTAATTAATATTTCTTTTGTCCTTTATAATTATAATATATATTGTCTGGTATAGTTAAATTTAAACACAATATATATATAATAAGAAAGTATATCAACAGTTATAGACAGAGTAACTATATATATATATATAACTTTTTTTTCAAAAATACGACATTAAATTTTATTTTAATAAAAAGATTTTAAATGAAATCTTCACAATTAAAAAACACACACACGGGCTGTCTTGAAGCACCCTATCTCAAAGTCATGTTGGGATTGTTCATGGGGTTTTGGTTTTTAGTTTGATTTTAAATATTCACTCCGTCTCCGTAAGTAAAAATTCATTTGCTTTTTATACACATAGTTTTAGAAATAATAGTATTATATTAACATATAGTAGTAATAAAGTAGAAATAACTAAAATAACCTTATTAGTATGTGTGATATAAATGTAATGACATTTGTGTAATATATTGTAAGTTGTAAGGGTATTTGTAATGTTAGGTAGATAATACCGTTACTTAAAAAAAAGGAAATAGATACTTTGTTATGAGACGGACTAAAATGAAAAAATGAATACTTTGTTACGAAGCCAAAAGAGTAATAAAACTTTTAATTGTAATGTACGCTTAATTTGATATACATATATATTAATTTAATATTTTAAATATAAAATTTATTTTTAATGTAATATAAAAAATAAATATTTAATTTGATATTTTTGAAAAAGAAAACATAATAGTCAAAGATTTTCAAAACCCCACAGCCAAATACGACCCTACTAATTGATAGTTGGACACAAATTTCACTAGGAAAAAGGTCTGAAAATTCCTCCAAACATACGCTTTTCTGTATTCATATTTAATTAGATCAAGTCATAATTGAAAATATTCAATCATCATTAATTTTTATTATTGTTATATTTTGTGTTACAAAGTTCTTATGGTGATGAAATTTAGAGGGTGTATTCATTCATTTGGATTTCATTGGATTTTTTTGAATTTTAAAAAGTTCACAGAGTCAACGGAGAGTTTGATGGATATTTTTAATTAATTTAGATAGATTCTTATGGATTTCATTGGATTTTTTTTTTATGAATTTATATGGATTTTGTTGAATTATAAAATATATATATTTTTTTATTGATTTATGTAATTGTATAAACTTATATAAACACAAAATTTACAAATATAATATATTTATTATATATTATTATATTTTATACAATATAAATAATATTAATAAATAATATATAATTATTAATGATATAGAAATATTGTAACATATATAATGCTACTATTTTGTATATTATATTTTTAATTTTATAATTTTTATTATATTATCATTCAATATATCAATTTATTTTTATATTTTTTTTATTAGTTATTATTATTATTCTTATGTAATAAATTTTGTAAAAAATAAATATATTGATTAAAAGATTAATATATCACACAGAATCATTATTTTTATATTATATGCACAATTTCTTATACTTTAAAAAATATCCCTTCAAAATATTTCACAAAATAATAACACCAAAAATAAAAAATTATATTTACAATTTTGCATAAGAAATAAAATTAAAAACAAAAAGTAAATTAAATATAACTAACGGTTCAATGAAAAAAAAATGTTTAGTTAACTTACTGACAATATAATGTATTCAATAATTAAAAAAAAAACAGTAATACATATTTATCATGATAGTAGTAATTTTTAAATATTGTATTTATAATATAAAAATACATATTTTCAAAAAAATTGATAATAATTTATTAATATATTTTATTTTTAAATTATTACTTTTTATTAAATATTTAAAATAATATTAATAAATATTATCATATTCTTTATCACTTATATATAATCAACAACAACAAAGATAATAATAATAGTAATAATAATTTTAAGAATCATCACAATCTCTCCTTATCATGATAGATTTTCTCATGTACAAATTTTTTATAATTGTCCATTAAAATCCAATGAAATTTATAGACTTTAGAAGTCGTGATTGTTGTATACCTCAAAATTTTAAAAAACTAAAGTCTTGATTGAATTATTTTAAAAATTCAACATAATTCTATAGAATTGTGATTGAATACACCCCCTTAACCTCGTGAAAATAGTTATGGGAAATCTTATACCATGAATCGAGGCACATATAGAAACACAACCGATGCACCCCAGTTTATGTATTAATGGCAATGCAAATTATATTCGTAATTTAGATGTTCGCATCTGTTTAGTTGTATTTTAAAAGTTTTTTTTTTATATATATATTTCAAATTATTTTTGAGAGAATAAAAAATTAATATGCATAAATATGTTATTTTATATGAAATTTTTAAATGCAAAATAAGTATTGAATAAGATATTCTAAATAGAAATATTGTTTTTTTTTATTATTATTATTCTAAAATTTAATAAATCATATTTATTCTGCACAGTTTTCAAATGAAAAATATTTTTTTTTCACAAAATATTATATATGCAAAAATTTAAATCAACACTAATGTATTCAATCTAGACTATGCAGAAGTCTTTAAATTATAATTTCAGCACCTGATCCAAAGTCTTAATTAAAAGATTAATTAAAATTCTAATTTCAAATTTTGCCTTATTAAATGTTACAAAATACAATACTTGTGAATTAATTTGATTATTTTATAGATTTGTTTCCCAATTATGAACTCAATTCAAACGAAAAATAATTTCAGAACAAGTGGAAGTAAGAGTCGAATGCAATGAAATAGTCCCTCTCAACGCCAAAAATTGTGCTCAAACTTTTGAGCAGTGTCTTTAAGGTGGCGTATTTTTTTTTGCCTTTTGTAAAAGAAAGAAATATAAAAAAAACTAAAGAAAACATAATTTTTGCTAAATAAATACTCGTTCCCTCCTAAAACAATAATAGAGACATTTTTTATTGATACGGAAATTAAGGAATAATACTCCCTCCGTCCACGGATAAAGTATACATTTATTTTTGGCGCGAAGTTTAAGAAATAATAATATTTTAATTATAGTGGGTAGGTAAAAGTAGTAAAATGATATTTTTGCCCTTGTTTTTTTGTATAAAAGTATTGATGTGATGTAAAGTAAGGGTATTTGTGAAGAAAAAAAATGGAGTATTTAATGAAATGATTACTTTGTAATTGGACGTTCCAAAATAGAAATATGTATACTTTGTAACTGGACGGAGGGAGTAGTATACAGTGATATGGGTGTAAAAGTATTTTTAAAAGACCAAAATGCGTCTACGTTATGCAATTATTGTTAAAAAGTGATGGTAGTTTTGTAAAAAAGTGGAGAGCTTTTTACCAAAAATGAAAATGAGATTACTATTTTGAATGACAAAATAAAGCTATTATTTTGAAACGGAAGAAATAAATGAGAACATTCGAAGTGATAGACAAAAATAAAAAAATAAATACAAATTTTAGTAACAAAAGAAATATTTTGTTTTCCAAATATATACTACTTCCGTCGGGTTCTAAGAGTTTCATTTACTTTTGTGTGTTGATTTTTGAATATTAATTATTATATCAAAATATAGTACAAATTAAGAAAAAATATTACAAAAATACTTCTATTAGTGTCTTATAATACTAATAGAATAAAATTTGCATAAAAAAAATTATACAAAGTATATGAATATTTTTAATATTAAATATAATGACGCAAACGATAAACATAACTTTTAAACACGATGGAGACTATATATATATATATATATATATTAAATTCGAAATTCGAACCCAAATGACAATTCGAAGTTGGATTCATTCAGAGACAGACTGCAAAGTTAAAAAGAAACTTCCCCTAATTTAATGAATTCATTCATCGAAACTTGAATACATGGTTGTCCTTAAGCTTCAATGGTCCCTCCAAGACAGGAACTGACGTCATGCTTCTTATGAGTGTGAATGAATGATACACAATACACAGCAGCAGCAGCAGCAGTAGCAGTAGCAGCAGCAGCAGCAGCAGCAGGAGGCAGACACAGACACAGACACACACATATATGTATATATATATATATACATATGATGCAGCAACTGCATTATCTATCATTGATTGTAATAATGGAGAAATACAGTCGCCAAATTGAATGCAAGACCACCCATCGATCATACATATACACAACTGCACCAAATTAAGTTTAATCTATCCACACTAGAGGACAATTCCTTAATTTATTTCCTATCTATATATCTATTCTCCTCAAAATCCCTAAAACTTTCTTGCTGCATGCCCAGATTTTAAAAACCCTAAAAGGACAGGTGATTGCAATCATTAATGAAACTCATCTAACTCATCCTAAATTTCACTCCCCGCTGTACTAACACTGACGTCACCCTCAGTTAATGTCCCACCGACACTATTATGCGACAAAGTTCACGAAAGAACACACACTTAGAGAGAGAGAGAGAGAGAGAGAGAGAGAGAGATTCTATAACAGGGGTTCTCTCTATTTGGCAATATGCAGGTAGTTTTTCTCATAAATTCCATTTAGGTAAAATATTTATAATGCAATCTCCACTTATTTATTCCATCTTAATATGTATATATATCTATGGATTTCTCATATGTTTTCATCCACAAAATCGATTGTTTTTTTCTTCCCATTTTTGGTGGCTTGTCTACTGTGCTTCAGAAAACCCTAATTTAAAGCAATGGGAAGACATGATGGGGGGGATAAGGTTGAGTTAAGGAAAGGGCCATGGACACGAGAGGAAGACCAGAAACTGCTGTCTTATGTTCAGGAACATGGCCATGGAAGCTGGCGATCACTCCCTGCTAAAGCTGGTTGTTAAATCTTTGCACAATTTGCAGATATTTCACTTTTGTGTGTACTTTATGGTTAGGGTTGAACTTTTTGAATATTGTTATGAATTTGGTCCAAAATGGTTAACAAATTATATACATTTTTGAAGGGCTAGAGAGGTGTGGGAAGAGTTGCAGACTGAGATGGACGAATTACCTGAGACCTGATATAAAGAGGGGAAAATTCAGCTCTCACGAAGAGAAGACCATTATTCGACTTCATGCTCTTTTAGGCAATAGGTATGCAGAAATACTTTGTTCATAGATATATATATATATATATGAGTATATATAATCTATTTATAGATTATGAAGTGAACAGTACCTATATCACCGGACCGGATGCTCTGTCACATTAACACATCCTATCTCTCTATCCCTACACACATAATCGGTATATATACACACGTGTGTATATATTATATATACATACATACACACGTGCGTAGATATACAATTATGTATGTGGGGATAGAAGGGTAAGGTTTATTTTTGAAACAGATGATCCAATTGGCTATATCACCTTTACTTCACGTAGAGAAATAGTAATAGAGTTGGTAGGCTGCAGATTCTATGTTGATCCGACAAAGTCAGTGTAGCGCTGATTTGACCGGATCAGCATATGTTATATGAATGACCCGCATTATGCTGATTTAACCGGATCTGATCTATGCCCGACCTGACGACCAGACAAACTATAGGGTTTTTTTACCCGGTGTTCTTTTCGTTTTTATTTTTTTTTCAAATTTTCAATTAACCTCTTATTAATGCATTTTATCTAATTTTAATTTTCAAAATGAACTTGAAATCTAACAATTATTTGTCATAAAAATATTATATATATATATCAATATTAAGTAAACAAACCCTAAGGTACGGGTATTTGTTATGTACTTGTGGCTAATTTTCAACGTATTTTTATTTACACTTTTTTTAAGTAATGTATATGGTTTTCTAAATTAATCAAATATGGTACAACAGAGTTTATTTCTTTTGACACAAAACTCAGTTTTTTACTATTTGAATTCTACAATCATAGAATTTTTTTTTTCTCTTACAAAACATTCTATCATACATTATTCTAATACCAAATCTAAAACAAAATTTTCTTAAACCCATAAAAAGAAAACATAAATGTAATTTGAAAGTCTCATGAATGGAAATGAAAATAATGTTTACTTCCTTTTGTTTCGATTGCCTCTTCTCTCATTTGTTAATTTTCCTCTACAAACTTCTTAACAAGAACTGAATATAAATTATACAAGTATGACATATTAAGAGAGATTTACAATGGCAAATATATAATGAAATTTTTGTTCAAAATTAGAAACCACTGCTAAAATTTAAAGTTCCTTGTTAATTATTTATTCTTTGAAAGAATATATGATGTCTAACATCTCAATCTTGCCCTAATATATATGTATATATATCAGATGGTCAGCAATATCAGCTTATTTACCCAAAAGAACCGACAATGAAATCAAGAACTACTGGAACACTCGACTCAAGAAACGGCTAACCCGAATGGGCATCGACCCGGCAACCCACAAGCCCAAGAACAACTCCACAGCTGTCTCCCTCAGCCACACGGCTCAATGGGAAGCAGCCCGTCTCGAAGCCGAAGCAAGGCTTGCTCGCGACTCGAACCTCCACAGCCGAGTCACCGCCCGCCCGTCGCCATTTCTGCCACCTCAGCTGGCCCTTCTGCCATGTCTCGACATCCTCAAAGTCTGGCAAGCCAACACTGCCACTGCTGGCCACGTCAGCCTCTTCAGCTCAGAAAGACCCACAAAATCATCTCCTACTTCAACCCTAAATTTCTCTGCAAACCATCACAGCACAGCAGTCTCTGCAGGCAGCTCCACACTGCCAAACGGTGTCGTTTCCATGAATGATTACACTTCAATGGTAACTACTTCAGTCGATGGTGGAGCTGAGAATTCATTACAGGTCCCTCACAGCAGTGACTCTTCCCTGGCTCTTGCTGTCGTTAACAATGATGACTATCATCGAATGGATTCGGCAGAACTTTCTGTCGATCCTTTCTCCGACGGTTATTACAACGCTGGTGGATTCGACGTAGGAGGATTGGAGGATTCTAGACTCTTTTGGAATGAGTTGCTCGATTTGGTTGGCTCCCCGTTGGAATCGACATGGACGTTTTAGGGTTGTTTTGAAGATGGAATGAAACATATATATGGTTTCATCTGATGGACTGGACAGCAATGATTCTGTATGTACCTAATGTGACATTTAAATTTTCCCTAGAAGATCATTTAATTTGCTAGATATTTGGTTATGTATTGAGGTTGATAGTGTCGTGTGTGACAATCATTTGTGTAAAATTTTACAAATTTTAATGATCTAGGTTTGCAAGCATTTTAAACGTGATCGGTTTTATTTATTTATTTATTTATTTTTTATTTATTTTTGTGTAAGTTAATGTCTTATGAAATTTATGGTACAAATATTAAAGATTAATAAATATTTCAGGATAACTCTATCCATCAATGGGCAGAAGTGCCAATATATATATAATTTTTTAATTTATGAAAGATATCAAATACCGTATGCCTCTAATAAGATCAACAAACAGTAAACCAAAACCACAGATAGACAAACCAACTACCAAATTATCTTAAATGTGTGATATTGTAATAACTTTCGCAAAATTTTATTGGACCCGCTAAAAATTAAAAATAGGTCATTATTAAATTTTGTATTAATATAAAATTATTATTCTGTAATTATTTATTTAGTTATTTGAAACTTTTTTTAAATTTGTTTGATTCTATTGTCAATAACTATATTTACTTTTTCCGTAAAAAAATATATTAAAATATGTTTAAATAAAAAATTTAAATTTAAATAAAAAAAAAATTAATTTACAGTCTTTTATATTATACATATATTTCTAAATTTTGTTATATATAAATATATATTATAAAAAGTAAACTCCCAAACGGGCTCAAAATCTTGGGGCCCCGGTCATGGGCCCATGTAGCCAATGCCCAGGCCTGGTTGAAAGAAAGCCGAAGTGATAACTATCAAATAATTGGGGACGTTGCAACAAAATTACTCAAATTTCTAACCATGACTTCATCGGTCCATTCTTATTTGATGTCCCAACATCAGGGTCCGTCGTATTGAAATAATTGAGATAAGAAAATAAAACAAATAATTCTAATTTTATTCCATTAATATTGTCGGATTCAGATCTACAAATAATTGAGGGTTTTGTGTTTTTTAAGTTTATGGCGCAACTTCTCATGAGAAAACAGTTAGGATTTATGCTGTTTCTATCATGATGAGATATAAAAAGTAATGATTCTTGCGTTTAGACCAGGATCAGAACCCAAATTTATATATGTTATTATTAATTGGTCTCATCACCCACTTAATAAGCTATCCGGTTTCTGTAAATTGGATGTCTGCACTTATTAAATACATTTAAGTCCAATAAATCAATATATCACTTACTATTGGCTTAACGTGACTGATAGTCCAAATAATTACATTAACCCACAATTGAATTTTTAATCCAACAATTGAAGTAATGTAAATCAGATACCCAATTGTCATCAAACGACCCAACGAATATTTTGAGAACTTCCGCATTAGGAAAACTTTCCTTGGGAATGATAGTAAAATTATTAACACCATTGTCCCTAGAAATATTTTTCGCTAGCTCATCAAAAGCAAGTCAATCAAAATTTGGGCGGGTTCTTTTGACTTATTTAAAAAAAAAATATGAAACCATGTTCGAAAAAATAATTTAAAACAATGAAATGAGAAAGAAAAAGATATAACATATGGAATTGAATCAAGAAAGAAAACAAAAGGAAACTAATCAAGTGGCAAAGCAGTAAAAGAAAACAAAAAATAAAGAAAATAAAATTGCCTAAAAATTGAATGATGGTGATGATCGTCGATCTTCAAAAGAAAAACCAAAATAATGTATATACTAACCTATTCCCTAACCCTAATCCTTAACCAGTTAAGATTTATTCTATCTAAAAATTTGTTAATATCAACAAACTCTTCAAAATCAAATAACTACTCCAAACCTTCCTTGATTGGGCCGATCATATGGGCTACACGTCGGTCCACTCGGCCCCATATATGGGTCCAATATATTTATTCCAAATAATATTTTGGAATAAAAAATTATTCTCTACAAAAGTGTCGATCTAGCAAAAATAGGAATTTTTATTTGATCGATACTTTTGAAACTGAACATGATCAATTTTTGCATGAACAAATGATACACTTCTCATTAATTGTTCTTAATGCCACCATTCTCTGACCGACGTGCCGCTGCCACCAAATATCCATTCTTCTGGCTTTTTGTAAATGAATTTCCAGATCCGGAGTCCAGATTGGAAGGATTTTTAGCTAGCTCCAGACTCCGCTGGGGTGATAGCTAGCTTAGGCTTCTCGGCTAGTCTCCCTGCATTGTGTTAGCCGGCGACCACGAGCATTCTGAATAATCTGAATTTCGTACTTCTGCTGGATCCTTAATCTCCATTGTCTTTCACCAAAAATTTCTTGGCCGTCGAGCCTCGCCAACCATCGTTTTAAGCTCCTTTTGGCGACTAATTTGCAGCATCGACTTGACTACCTTTACATTATTTTCATGAACTTCAAGCCTTATGTGATAGACAATAAATCCAAAGAATTGTCTAGGTCGGACGCCAAACGCGCATATGACGGGGTTTATTTTTGCTACCTCATACGAATGCATGACTTCCATAGGTGCTACAAATGATGGTCGAAGCTCTGAGACTTAACAACCACGTCATTGTTACTGACCTCCATTCTTAGTGAGTCGATAGGTTGCTCCATGCCGTGGCATCGATAAGTATATCGGCTATCGACATTATGTACTCGTCTTTAGAGGTTTAAAAGTTAAGGTTCCTAAAATCATTACACATGCACAACTTCCTATGTCTTTAGGAGTTGAAAAGTTAAGGTTCCTAAAATCATTACACATGCACAACTTCCTATTCCTTTCCATCACCGGAACGATGTTGGAAATCCACTCGGATTAGCGGAAAATACATATGAAATTAGCTTGCAGCAACCTCTTTATTTCTTCCTTAATTTTCGAAAGAATATCTGGATTAAACCTCTTTGGAGACTGCTTGTGAGGTCTGAAATTAGGGTTCATCATAAATCGATGTTCAACACGACTTGGAGCTAATTTGGGCATTTCATCTTAGTTCCAAGAAAAATAGTCCTGAAACTCTTTAATTAACTCGATAAGAAAAACTCTACTTGTAGCGTCCAAAAAAACACTTATCCCATTAGTCATGGGACTCACCTCACTCTCTCAATTAAAAATCATCAAGTGAATCATGGGCCTCAAATGTCAAAACAATTTTACGGATGGGACTCGGGGAATGCTCATTGTCTTTCAACTCGAAAGGCCTTGGGCGAGGAGATCGGACTTCCCTAAGGCCATGAATCTCTTTTTTTACTCTCAAGCAGAGGCAAACGAGCCGATTTAGAAGTCGGCTCCATCATAAATCAGGTCTTTTTCGGCCGTATGTTGGCTTTTGAATGAATCTTGAATCCTTTCGATGTCAAATTGCATTTGTCCCTCGACTTGGCCCCTTGCAGCATCATCCAGAGAGGAAACACATCCAAGAGAAATAAATGCCTCTACTGCGTGCACTTCCATCATAATACTGCCTTGCAATGATTGGGTGTGATCGCAAAGAGCAACGAACACGCTGGATAAAAATCTGACCTTATCTATCGTAAAATCTCTTTGTAACTGAAGTGCCAGTTGAGGTCACGATCAGACGCAATGACATCCAGACTCGTCTCAGAAAAATCATCCCCATTTTCGGATGCTTGAATGACTGTCTCACCTAAAAGCTTGATCTTTTAGGTAAGATGGTCATTCAACATCCGACATGGTATTAGAGCCTGGCTAGGTCTCGAGTTCGAGTCCAACTGTCCCCATTTGCGGCATATGCATGTGCAAGTTTTGCAGACCCCACTTGCACCTGAGGGGCATTTGGGGACTCCCATTTGTGGATAAATAATTAATTATTGTGTTTCCCTAAAAATTCGAGCTTTTAGGTGAGACGGTCATTCAAAATCCGACATAGTATCTGAGTTTCCCTAACAGTTCGAGTTTTTAGGTGAAATGGTCATTCTACATCCGATATGGTATCAGAGTCTGGCTAAGACTCGAGTTCGAGTCTCACCGTCCCCATTTGTGCGCATATGCATGTGCAAGTTTCGCATACCTCCACTTGCACCTGAGGGGGCATGTTGGGACTCCCGTTTGCAGATATATGAATAATGGATGAGTTTTCCTAACAGTTCAAGCTTTTAGGTGAGACGGTTATTCTACATCCGACACCCATGTGTTGGCGCATGAATAGAAAAATAGGACAATTTCTCAAACAATTCTCACTTCTTGACAATAATACCAAATACATCATATTTAAACTATCATTCAAACGTTACTACATAATTGATTATAAAAGCAATTTAAAGGCATCATAAAAACAAATATAAACCCCCATAACAGCTAGCCACTTTCTTTCTCCTTAATGGCCGCTAAGTTTGTTGAATCATAACAGACACTCCCCCTTAATTCAAACTCTCCTACTCCCATTAAAGTTCTGAACAACTCATACTTTGCTTGGGGGAGAGATTTTGTCAAAATATCAGCTACTTGCTCATTTGTGCCACAAAACTCCAATGCAATCACCCATTTTGCTGCAAGCTGCCGAGTGAAATGATGTTGCATATCGATATGTATGGTTTTTCCGTGAAATGCAGGATTTTTGGACATAGCTATCGCAGACCTATTGTCACAAAAGATCAATGTTGCTTTCTTTTGTTCTATGTTCACATCGGTTAACACTTTTCTCAGCCATAAAGCTTGCCTTGATGCTGTTGTCGTTGCTACATACTCTGCCTCTGAAGACGACAAAACCACAGTTTCTTGTTTCTTAGAACTCCACGTCGCAGCTCTAGAACCAAAAGAAAAAATAGTGCCAGAGGTACTTTTTCGATCATCCAAACGTCCTGCCCAATCACTATCACAAAAGCCAATCAATCTGAAAATTGGTGTTTTATTGTACCAAACTCCAAAATTGATTGTTCCAGCTACATAGCGAAGTATTCTCCTTGTAGCTCCATAGTGTTGCTTTGTCGGATTATGCATAAATCTGGAAACAACACTTACAGAAAATGCAATGTCAGGCCTTGTATGAGTTAAAAAAGTTTAACCCTCAAACTTAACTCCTAAAGAATGTTGAATTAGCCTTCTTTGTTCCATTATATAGCTCCAATTTCTCATTGATGTTCATTGGAGTAGCTGACACATCGCACTTTCAACATATTAA